TTTACACAATTCTAAGACATGATATTTCCACCAAAAATTGAAGCCGATACAGTATATTAATTTTGCTCAGTCACAAGTGTAGCCATGATTTGTTTACTTATGGCAGAGGTAGTCTGACCCCTGCTCACGCATTGCTCGAGCCTAGGTCTTCGCTCTTTAAGCGTCTGGGCATGAACAACGGGTTGAGTTAGGTTTTCTTGGTTGGTTGGTAATATAATTTTGTTAATTATTCTAAAAAAGTAAATTTTTCCATTATGATTGTTGGGTGAAAGGGGGGAAGGTATCTATAAAAAAAAAAAAAAAAAAAAAAATGTGATTTCCAGTGGAAATGAATATCAGATTCGTTGAAACTCATCAAAATACATTGGGAAAACCTATTTTTATATCAAAATAAAGACCGGTGTGATACTATAAATTGACCAAAAAAATTTTTATATTGACAAGATATAACTAATGGTAAACACAAACTTGCTCTAGCCGAGTTGTAGCTGAAGCTATAATAATAATACAGTATTTACATACAGTACTGTATAACCTGTACTATGTATCCTTGTATTATATGAAGCTTATTCAACAAATTAAAACCAAATCAAATCATTACCACACAGTACTTACAGTAGTTTTAAATTGGAACTGTGTAAACATACCGGATATTACTGGGTTTAATAGGGTCGACTAATTACCCAAATGTACCCAGAATGTGCCGCAATGAAAGTCAAATAATGGTCCTACATGAATAAATGGATATAATCACTTCCGACTAGTATTTGGTGTCACAAAGTACAAAAATTGGAAAACGTAATTTAATCTGAGTAATAGATCGAGTGCATGTACCTAACCTAACCTAACACACCTCAAATTATAGTTTCAATTTTATTGACTATGTTTACAAATAATAATCGAAGGTTCCACGCCGATTTACGCTTATAAGACCATCATGACTTTCATTGCATTACATTGGCTATTTGGTAATTAATTCGGACGAGATTTAATATGATTACAGTAGGTTAATCATTCCAGTCATTAGTGAATGTGAAGATGAAAGTATATGATCTTTGATAAGGTACTTACTACAAACATGTGCTCACTGTCCAATGTAACAGCTTCACTGCATGTACAGAGACCTAGGCATGAACACCACTTCCTGCCACTATTTAGTAAGTCACTATTTTCAGGCTTCATGTCGTTCAAGCATTTATTGACATACAAAGATCATTAATCAAGAAACTGTTTACTTAATAAATTGCTAATGTTGCTTCTTTTTAAGTCAACATTACATATATTTACATCACTGCCTAACAAGGCATAAGGCAAAAAAATCGTGTAGAAACCCGCCAAAGGGAAGGTTGGGATCTGTCCCTAGAAGGAAAGTGAATGGCACTCCTTAATAATTAGAGGCTGTGAACACTGTCATTCGTCGTTCAAATAAAATAAATATATATGCAATTCATAAAATAGCAAATGAAATTTTGCTTACCGTACTATACATGTTCCTGGGGTTTGTGGGGTTGCAAAAACACTAAAGTTTATGTGTTAGATGGAGAAAGGTCACTAACTGTAGAGGTATTTTGCACAAACTGAGGTGAACTCGTTTATTACTGTGATGAAATTGAGAGCCCAATTATATATATATATATATATATATATATATATATATATATATATATATATATATATATATATATATATATATATATATATATATATATATATATATATATATATATATATATATATATATATATATATATATATATATATATATATATATATATATATATATATAATATATATATATATATATATATATATATATATATATATATATATATATATATATATATATAAGAATTTGACAATTGACTGTGAGGGCAAACTTTTCAGTGTGAATTGGAACTCTTGGAACAACCTCCCAGAGTGTTTTTTGTATGTGGGGTTATGTGATATTTAGTTCACACTCAGGGTGGGATGGAGAAAGGAAACTCACAATGTGCTCTCTGTATACACATTGTATTGATGTACAGTGCAGCTTGGTGCTGGGAAGTGGCAGCGTGGTTACAAGCGTGATGTAGAGAGAGCTGGTTGGTGAGGGTGCTCAGAGGAGGACCAGCTTGTGGGTCGCCATGGTCGCCGACGGGAGCAGGTCCGCCAGGCAGGAGCGGAGGATGAGGAGGAGGGTTGCTTGCTGGTGGCTGTGGGTAAGGAGTGGTCACCACGAGGTGTGGGTCGCCATGGTCGCCGGCTGGAGCGAGGCCAGGCAGGAGGAGGAGGTGTTGCTTGGAAGACTGGCTGTAGGTGAGAAAGAGGTAGGTCACTGTTGTTGTTGGAGATTGTCGGACAGTAGTCCGACACGGGCCTTTGCCTATAGGCGGCCCGTTTGGGGTTCCGGGGAGCTCCTGGAGCAGCCAGACCGGATTGGGATTGAGGTGGTCCTACCTGCAGATTTGGAAGGATACTGCAGGTTGCAAGTGTGAGCGGACCCCGATCAGTGGACGCTTATCACCAACCCCCACTCTTGGACGTGGCCGGTTTTGAGTGGCGCGCCCCCGAACTGGGGTCCGCTCTTGCTGGGAGAGGATACTTTCTGCTATCTGGGTGGTGGGTATCGTATGATGACCGAGAAGGTGGAGAATGTGGTTTGTTTGGGCCTTTCGGGTAGGAGTGGCCGCTGGTGTTGTGTGTGCTTCTGGGAGATTTGAGTTCTGTTTCGGAGGCTTTGTGTGACTTCGCAACTGGCGAGATAGTGTTCAAGTGGGTTGTTGCTCGCTCCTGACAGTAGGTGCATTCCATGACGTCATTTCCGATCATCTGCCAGGAGCACTTGTACCCGTCGTAGTCGATGAAGGCTGACTTGGGTTTGTCTTGGTGTTTTTGTCCGCGAAAGGTGGTTCCTTTGTAGCCGCCAGGTACCATTTGGCTGATTGGGAACCAGCATTGAATGCGTGAAGGAAGCTCTTTTTGATGTGGAGCTTGCTAGTCTTTCTGAGGTGATTCTTGATCTGTTGCACGCTTGCTGGAACTTGGATGTGTACGCTACTAGAACGTGTAGCTGCCTTGGCTGCTTCGTCTGCCACGTCGTTTCCTCCGATCCCTACATGACTGGGAATCCAGTAAGACGACTGCGGTTTTTGTCTTTGGAATTCCTGTAGCTGTGCGAGGATCGAGGTTATGATGTGGACGTTGTCTCTGGTTGACTGTGTTGCAGCGCCTGCATGGCCGATTTCGAGTCCGTGTGAATTATGATGGACTTGTTGTGTTGCAGCGTGTTGTAGGGCCTGAGATTGCTACCAGCTCTGTTTGTAGGGTGAGCAGTCATTAGAAAGTTCCATCGGAGGGTCTGACCTTGGGTGAAGGCCGCTCCGATGTGTGATGTTTTGATCCACCGAGACGTCTGTGAAGTATGATGCTGCATCAGCCGGTGTCTCTGGCTATGGCTGCCAGAGTTATTTTTTGAGGTCCTCCTTCTGGAGGTTGGCTTTGCTATCATCTAGGTCGGTAATTTTGAATGTGGCTGGTGGAGGGCTCCATGGTGGAGGAACTACATAACCATTATCTCGTGTGTCTTGGTTGTTCTTGACGAGTGTTTCTGCTTGCAGGTGTGGATGACCTCGCTTGCCTCGTGCGACCAGGTGGCCCCTCGCACTCTGTGGTCGAGGTGGAGGGAGGCACTGATTCGAATTTTGGCAGCTGGGGCTTATCTGATCTACAGATTTTGGCGAGAGACCGGCTGTCACCTGCTTGACTCGTACTGCCAGGGGTGGTGGTTCAGTTTCCATTTGCAAATGTACACTGGTCCACTGGATGCTCCAAGCATGGTCCTGAGAGCATTATTTTGGATAACTTCTAGCTTAGCTATCTGGTCTTCTCAGTCCAGTGAGTGCTGGAGCACTGTAATCTACCAGCGATTTGATGGCGGCCGTGTAGTAGGCTTTGAGCACATGGTCCTGAGGCCATAATGAAGCCATGTGCAATTGATATTAGAGAGATTCTGAGGTCAATAGTAAATACTTTTTACTCTACAAAAGCGCCGGAGTACAATACTGGTAAAGAAAAATTATTGGAATTTTCTGATAAAGGGTCCGAACCCCTAGGACCCCCCTGGATCAGCCCTTGCTCTTCGCCACTGATCGGCTCGTTAGCTGCTTGGGTGGTTGGTTACGTTCTGATACGCCGAGTTTGTTGAAACTATTTAAACCACCTATATCCCAAACACAGTTTTGATAAGAGTACTATTCCTTGGATTCAAATTGATGCAGCAACTCTTAACATAAGGCTGACTTGAGGTCAGTACTTGCCAACAGTGCGTAACATGAACCCTTGAATATGCTTTCTGGTAATCTATACAATTTTTTGTATATTTTTTTGTCACATCAGCTACTACCTTTCGGGAGATAGGTTCACCCAGTGTCAGTACAGGAGGAAACCGGGGACCGGGAAACCTGTGAAGTTTGGTTGGGTTTGGTCAAGGCTGGAACCTATAATTGTTCATGGGTGGTAATCACCTTGTTTGGTTATAGGGCTCACCTCTGCCATTTTCCCGCTGGGGACGTTATGCTCAGCTATGCATCTGCAGCCAGAATTGTTAAGGGTTGCAACAAGCTCATGCAATTGGATGCACACTGGGCTATTTTAAACATTTTGCCTGGAAGGAAATATTGCATGATTGTGAATACATAAAACAAAATTGATGCTACGTTTTAAAAAGCTAATACTTTAGTAGATGTGTCATTGAGGCATTATTTGATATAACATGTCAAAGAAAAGTTATAGATACCAGCTGGGTACCTCATTGCAATAATACATATTAAAAGATAGACAAATACTTGTGAAACGAGTTTGTGAAATATTTACGATTTACTGTGTTTGAGTGAAACATTTGAGCTAACACATTAATTTTAGTTTGGTGAATACTACCTCATTCATAAGCACAGGAAATAAAATAGGGAGTGGTGCAATGGGCCTAGCCACTGAGCTTAGGGTGGTGATCGTCAGCTGTCATTCTTATGTTTGTAAACATTCCTTCGGTTACAATGGGTATCGTCAGTGGGTGAACCCGCACATATTGAAACAAGCTGGAACCTTTCGTAGAGTGAACATATGAAATATGGCTTCAGACAAGGTATTGAAGTTGTTCTTTTCAAGCTGTAATTCTGTGTTTTGATAGTTTAGAGCTTACCAGTCTGGCTAGTACTGGAGATGGTGTACCTCCAACTCGGCCCATCTTGTACACTTCAAACAAGTAGCTGACGAGAGGTTTAGAAGTAAGTTTAAGATATGTTTTATGTCCACTTTGGTTCACTGAAATACGAAGTGTGAATGAGTGAATACCAAGGGTTCAATCAGTATGAAGGACGAATTTTATGAGTTTATGTGAGTGAAAACTGTTGAAAATACCTGTTCAGATTATTGCTCCTTTCTCCGTCGTTATCAGTTAGCTCGTCAGTATTGGTCCAATCTTGTCTCATGTTTTAGTTTGATACATTTGAAAGAATCCTTGGGAACTTCACCTCCCTTGCTACCTTCAGTTCATTATTCCTCTTTTGCTTTTCTTATCTCGGTCTTAACCCTACTGGCCAATACCTGGCCAATAATATTCTTTAAATAATTATTTATCCATTTGGGGTCATTGTTATTTGATCCGAGTTTTCTGTATGGTATGTTCTGCCTTTGTGCATTAAGTAACTCATTATTTAAATTGTTGTCGAATTCGTTAACCTCAGATCTCGTGATCAGGTCATCCTCAACCGTCATATTTTGTGTGGGTGTCGTTGTCAGGTCTCCAGGTAAGTGAGTGCGGCTTCTGTCGGTACATTGTTGTGGAATGTCAACTTCAGATCTGTGATCAGGTTATTCTCCCGTCATATTTTATGAGGGTGTTGTGGGCTGGTCTCCCGGTAAAAGTGATCTTAATTGTGAACTAAATATAAAATATAAAAATAAAATTATATATATAAAAGAATCACCTCTTCACATATAGTAATAAGATAGAATGAAAGATAAATAATAAAAATAAATTTCCCTCCCCCTTTACAATCTATGCTGCGTTTATCATTGTACTTCTATAATTCATGCAAAAATGTGTAAACTTTTACTTTTTGGTCGAGTTTGTTAACCTAAGTGGTCTGAGTTGGTTATCCGAGATGGTCGAGTTGGATGTGGACTGAGTTGACAATGAGCGAGTTGGACTGTAACCCTGGAGGTTACAGGAGCAAGCTAAATTCCATTCACTCCATAGCGGTAGTGCCAAAAGATCGTATTGAAATGTACGGTTGTTTCCATTGGCACCATTGGCAAAATAATCCATGGAGCAGTACTAGTTGTTGCCATGAAGTTAGAAGACGGAGACTGAACTTTGGTGGGCTGGGAATGCGTGGGTGGGCAATGTTACCTCCTCACTGCCAGATTCGCGATGCTATATCAGACTTCAGCTGGGAAGCCCAAATATAGGTTGGACAGATATATGAGTGATATGGGTTGGGTGTAAATGGGCCCATTGGCCCACTGCACTTCCTTCATTCATGAGTTCTTGTATAAAATATTGTAAATTATTAAACGACTTTATCGAAACTATGCTGTTTGGCACGATGTGATTAGTGAATGCCTGCACTGTATAGTATTTTAAAATTTAACTATATATTGTACAATGGGAAGATTTGAGAGTGGGAAGAGGTAAAAAATTTATTTGGAGCTATTGCAAAGATAGAAAGTTGGTAGCTTAGGTGAGCTGGGACTCGATACTTCATTACAAAAATTATAAGTAGAAATGCAATTATAGATGAAAATTTTTATGGTATGAAAACTTATGCAGTGTAGACAGTTATATGAAATTTATTTAAAAGTGATTTGAAGTCTGGCCAATAAACATTAACTCATCAAAACACAATGACAATATGTGAAGTTGACACAAAATATTCCTTACTCCTATTTAATCATTACCTAAACACATGCAACAAAGGGGCACAAGGGCACTGCCAATTATTGACTCTCTCTTACATCAAACTTTTGACACCATACCAATGACTGACCAGGGTTAGATAGGCTCTGGGCTTAGACTGCCTTTGGACCTCAGACATAGGCTGTCTCTGTGGAACAATATCCTTGGCATCTGCTTGAGGCCACTGCCACTTGGCCATTGCCCTTGGCATCTACCATTGGCTAATGCCCTGGACCTCTCCTGTGGACTGTTGCCTTGGCAGTATTTTTTCCGATTTCAAGGACACCCAACCTCATGATGCATTCAAGTCCATAAGCATCATAGTCATGTAAGTGGCCAGGCTATGAGTAATGTGTTGTGAGCCAGGGTAGTAACCAGCCTTGATGGCGCCCAGGGCAATGGCTGAATTGCGCCCCCCCTCTATGGCTCTCCACCACCACTAACCCCCACTCCTGCAACCCCACTTCTACATAAATAATTATATCAACTTAATTTTAATTTATATACATAATGTAGCATAATAGAAAATAAAGGGATTGCTAAGACACTGATGATGTACAGTATATTTTACGGTTGTAGCAAGGCTTGAACAAATTTACTTCAAGAACTGGAATAATTATCTATAAGTAATCACCAATTTGCTGCTCAAAACACATAGTCTACATTCAGTTAAGAAAATACTGTAATAATTATATATATGTACAGTGTGGTCCCTTGGTTCTTGAACACAATTGTTCCAGAAGGTTGTTCGTTAACGAAAATTCGTTAATCAAAACTATTGTTTCAATAGGATTTTGGGTAATTGGTCCAGCTCACCGAAAATTACATACAAAGTAAAAAAAAAATGCAGTAAGTACACTTACTTTGAGGTATGTATGTAGAAGGTTCCTGGTTTATGATGATGATGATGGGAATTAGAAGTGGGGGTGGAGAAATCACCCCATGGTTGATCCGTCATTTCACCATAAATTTTAAGTTCACTTGGTGTAATTCAAGATTATTTTCTTTAAATCAACACTGCACTGCACTATATATTGTCAATATGTTAAATAAATTTCAGAATGACCAATAATTGTACAGTAAAACGTAAAAATACTCTGTGTTCAAGAGACCCACAAGCAAGATGTTTCCTCCACTGAACAGAGACACAAACTGAGGCCTTGGTGGGTGAGTGAAGTGGTTGATGGGTGCACCAAACTAGTTCCCTGTAATGCAATTATGTTAAATACGTGTTAAAATGACTAAAAATTTTAATATAAAACTTGGAAAATTATTGAATAGTACAACCTTCTTGAAATTTACTCCAATTTTAACGAATGTAAGCCCTAGAACCGATTTTTCTATTGCGGACTAATCTTCCAGCTGGTGAGCAAGCCAAAGCATGTCGAAACATTTTTAAGAATTTCAATCAATTTTGTTAGTTAACGTAAATGAAGATTCTTATGGAAGGTAATTTGTTAACCAAAAATTTCGTTAACCGAGGCATTTGTTAACTGAGGGACCGGCTAGTCAGCAATTTGCTGCTCAAAACATGCAGTCTACATTCAGTTCAGAAATTACCATAACCCAGTGGATTGCTTAACTTTTCATTATAAAATTCTTTTACTCTCCAAGTACGTAAACATATTCAATAATAATCTTGAACAATTCTGATGACAGATTTTACTCTTAATCCTAAACATTAAGTTTATTTATCCATTACAGTATTAATTATCATAATACAGTACAATGCACAGTATATCAAGGCTCATAAATATCAATGAACTAAAAATGCAGCAATCTAAAGTTTAAAAGTATAATTGTCTGTAAATTACAATAGCTCCAACATGTGATGAAAGAGGAATGAGTAGGCTAATGACGGCGGTGCGTTTCGGCAGCAAACAGACACATGGGGCGCCAGACGGAGTTTACGGATATAAGCCCACCGGACACAGGTCACCGACCCACATCAGGGCCGGGGCGAAACGTAGTAACAATAATAATAATTCAGATAAGTAAAATTTATAATAAAATACAAAAATAAATATAAAATAATAATGATAATAATAATAATGAAAACACTGCAATAATAAATTATAATAATAGTAATAATAAGGAACCATAAAGAAATTGAAAAATAGATCATTAGTGAGAAACGATATATGTATGTTGTGTTGTCAATAGCAAGAGAAACAATTGAGAGCCCGCAATTGTGTGCAAAAGGCAGAAAGTCAGATCAGCAACCTGGGACTTGGTCACAATTTTGGAATGCCATATAGCAGCAGGGTCTACCATTAGACAGCACATTATGCTTCCAATATCTTCCCAGGCGGTAGTACCTCCTGTGTGGTAGAGCTGCCTACTATCTACTGCCAGTCACCATCAAAAGAATATTATATTGACAATTGAAAAGTGTTAATAATAAATATATTGTATTTAATACCCGTACAGGGTATTTATAACTTGGAGATTATGAATTAACCTATCCAGGGTAGCAGTAGTACAGGCTTTTCTTCTAGAGTAATTTCGTTTTGTTATTTTCCTTTAATTTTTTTTTAAATTCATAGGCAATTTGGTGTCCCCCTTACCTTGGCACCCAGGGTGGCTGTCCTTCTACCACCCACTAGGTACACCCTGTTGTGAGCACTCTTAACTTAAGAGGTACATAACTGTTCTGATATATGGTTTTCCTTTCTCATCAGGCCAGCGTTAATGATCTACAGTAATACCTGGTTTACGCGGTTTCGTTTACACGTTTTGTCATTTACGTACCCTGCCAGAACCAAATGCCCTTACGCGCATCTACTCATATACGCTGAGAGTGGCTACTAACGTAAGTGTTAAACCTAACCTTAATTTTTTCTAACCTAACCTAATGTAAGTGTTAAACCTTGATTTTTCTAACCTAACCTAACCTTACGTAAGTGTTAAACCTTGATTTTTTCTAACCTAACCTAACCTGATGTAAGTGTTAAACCTTGATTTTTCTTTTACCTGGTACAGTATATTATTCTCTTATTGATATTTCTCTTATTGATATTTCTGCATACCATCATAAAGTTAAGATACTATTTTACAACGTAGGTATTGTGTCTGAAAAAGTGGAGTTTGGGGGTCGGCCCAGTCTCTACTTCAATTAATCCCATATGTTCTGTTATTCCATTTACGTCTTCTTCTGAGGAATCCAACCCAGTTCCTGGCCCATCAGCACTTCAACTCCACCTACTGTCAAGAAGCTGCAAAAAGAAGTTCTAACTCCAGAACTTTCTAGCATTAGATCGACTAAGTCCTCAGATAGAATGGCCATGCACATTGTCACCCAAACTGCTCGAGTCTGGGCCATGATGTCAGTGAATTGATTCTGAATCGATCAAGCATCAGGAGGAAACGTCAGCATCATCGAGTAGCAGGGCAGCTGAATCCTTTCAAACTTCAAACCAGAGTCAGTTTTAATTGTTCACTGGGATGGTAAATTGATGCCTGATTTGACGGGGCATGGGGCCATGTTGACAGACTCCCAGTTCTTGTCTCAGGCAATGGCACCTCCCAACTTTTGCTGTTCCAAAACTTTCTCTGGTACCGGTGATGAACAAGCAAAAGCTGTTGTGAAGGCTTTGCAGCAATGGCACATTGCAGACATCGTGCATGGCATGTGTTTTGATACAACAAGTCAAATACTGGTCACCACAAGGGTGCGTGTGTCAAAATTGAGCAGTTGCTGGGTCGTGATTTGCTATATTTTGCCTGCTGCCACCATTTACTAGAACTTGTAGCTGGAGCTGCTTTTGAAGCTGTAAGGGGCACTCAGCTGCTCCTGACATACAGCTGTTCAGAAGATTCTAAGCCAAATGGGAACAAATTGACAAGCAGAAGTTTGAAGACTCCTCCACCGACGATCTGGCAGAAGAATCGGTCAGAGCTGTTAGGGACGATCTAACCAACTTCATTGAGAAGGCTCTATTGGAGACACAGCTTCGAGATGATTATCGAGAGCTGCTAGAGCTGGCCTACATCTTCCTTGGCACATCACCTTCGGGAGTAAGATTTTTCTGCTCCTGGTGCAATGCACCAAGCAACGATGGATGGCAAAGACCATTTATTCCTTCAAAGTGTGGTTATTCCGCTCAGTTTAAGCTTACTTCAAAGGAGAAACAGAGGACCAAGAGATTTGTGCATTTTCTTTGCCCTAATATATGTGAAGGCTTGGACAATTGCTCCACTTGCTGCAAAGGCACCAAAAGGAGATCTGATGTTGCTTAAAGCTCTACAAGACTACAGTACCCTCAGCGATGCCATATCAAAGGCAACTTTCCACAAAATGATGAGACACTTCTGGTACTTGTCAGAAGAGTTGGTTGCATTGGCTTTTTTGATGACGATGTTCTCCCAGCAGTGAAGGACCGCATGTTGGAAGCTATGAACATCGTTATTGGAGAAGAAAGCATGTCAAACGGGTTACAATCAATCCAGACACACTCCAAGTGAAGAACCTATATGATTTCACTACAAAGAACACAAAGTCATTTTCAAAAAGCTCAACTTGAATACAGATTTCCTGGCCCTCCCAGTAGAACAGGAAAGATGATCCTGGCTTCCAAAATGCAAAAGCCAGTGTACAAGCTTTGTCTGTGATCAATGATCATGCAGAAAGAGGAGTAGCCTTAGTCCAAGATTTCAGACCGCATCACCATGACGAACAGCAATTGCAGTATCTACTGCAGGCACTTGCTGACCACAGGAAATCATTTCCAATGCCCTCAAGCAGACTTACTACGACAAAGAGTGAGACTGGTCCTCATGCGACCCTGCCTTGAGCAGCTAATACCCACTTAGACTAAGTGAGGGGCCCAGGCTTGGGGGCTAGAAATGATGTGTAATGAACATTAAGCATACTAGGCATAATATTGTTAAATTTCATTTGACTTGAGCAACCTTTAATTATTAAGATATTTAAAAATATTTACAGTCAATGTTTCTACCCCAAATGGAAACTTTTGCCAGGTTCTGACAAAAAATGGCAAATTTTGTTTTTTGCCCCAAATTAAGGACCACCTTATTTTACGCCAGCATTCGCTGGTTCAATTGACCGCAGAATCGGGTATTACTGTACTTGTATTTGACTAATATGCTTCTGCAATACTTGTGATTTGTTCATTGATAAGAACTTGGTACAGTTATAACTAATATAATTCCGACCATTACAATTGTTTTGTAAACTGTTGATTATATTAACAGCTGTCTTCAGCTTAGAGAGTCCTCATGGTCCTGGGGGGTGTGTTCTTCACATGGCAGAAGGCTTCTGGAGGTTTCTTGGCATCTACTGGATACAACCAAGTAGTTAACATTTATGACCCATATGGGAATCTCCGAGAACAGATACATTTACCAGGGTAGGTGCTTATGAGCTTTTAAGACTACCTATGTATATGTTGTATCTGGGGAAATGTTGGGCAAATGTCAAGTTCAGTCCTTGTGCTTTAATTTTTTATGAATAATGTACATCTTTTGTAATGTGTTTCATGCATAATGTATTCAATGGTGGAGTAAAGAAAACAACAGTTGAAAACCATTTAGGAAATAGACCACACAAGCCAGCTGGATCTACAGTAATCTAACCTATAACCTAATGAGCCCAAGTTAATTTGTTTGGCATATGTGGTCAGCTTTATAAACTTTTAATTTTGTTTTTCTTTTCTATTAGATTTGCATTCTCTGCATTAAAACAAACATATCAGTAAGGATATCACGATAAAAATATAATGTACAAAAAATAAATGCCAGAACCAAATTTAAAATTTATAAGTACTGTACTGTAAACTTTAAAAACATTTGCTTCTTAGCATAATTGTAGTTTTATTCAGTTGTGTAGTATTTTTCTTTTAAAATTTAAGAATCAGTCTTATTGATACCTGTACTAGGAATCCATAATTTATTGAACAAGCTCAGTATGATGAAATGTCAAGCTATAGTCATTGGCATGACTTATTAGGCTGGGCATTTCCTACATTAATTTTGACAGACCTTTCACTTGCTACCTGTATGATAAATTGTATGTATCCAAAACTTTTATGGTACTTTGTTTTCTATATAAGTCCTGATTAAAGGTTTACACATATTGACCTTCCAGTATCTTTAATTTGCTCAATCCTGCATAGTTATGGCAAAATATAATTATACTGTGGTCATTGGGAAGACATCTTGTAGCGGAGAAAAATCAAGAAATTTTCTTTTTCAATACATGTATACAATATAAATGTTATGAGACATACTCAATATACATTACCAGTAAGACTGTGATTACCAAACCTCCCTTTATGCAGTGTGTGTTCAGGATTTGGCTGGGACAAAGATGGAGCTCTTGTCCATCATCAATGACAGGTCACCTCTTGTCCATGTCTGGGATGCTAACTCTGGTAAGATAATGTTTTACCCATCCTTTGATGATTTTCACTATATAGTACTGTATACTGAACATGATGCTGGAGGAAGTCCATACGTATTGTCAGTTCTCATTACATATACAGTATGCTCCTGCCTCGGATTTACTTTTGGCCAATCGCTGATGACACCTTTGATGTACCCAAGAATGTCTGTGGGTAGTTTTAAAGTTGCCTACGTGGCTGGGACAGGAGCCATTCATTCTAGAGACACTAATTTCCTGTAATATACCTGTACGAATTCCAAAATAGGCTATTTGTAACTTCGATCAATTAATTATGTCTTCCCTCTGACAGTGTTCAAGTTATAAGTAAAGGGAGGTGAACATTAGTACAGTACTATTTTTTAAACAATAACATGTTTCAGGCAAAATTTATGCTAGTGTGGCCACATCCTTAGAATTAACATTTTGTTACTGGTTGACTTTACAAATATCATCTCTTCAAACAGTCCTGTACCTGAAGGGCCCTGCAGCGACACGGTCAATACTGTGCTAAGATTAATGGCTGTACCTCCTGTTGACAGGTCAAACTGAACCTCCCCCTCCTTGCCACCCAGACCCAGATAGTATCTGATGTGCATTTGAGCAAATACAATAATCAAATTCTGTACAGTAAGTCTGCTTAACTTCGTCCTGCTTAACGTTGTTTTTACTACGTCGCTAAACTTTAGAGACCAAAATTGTTTAATGTCTCGGTGATCCGATACTACATCGTTGTGTCATCATGGACTACTTTCTACGGAGCATCACCCTCTCTCGTCTGGCGCCGCCACGCTCTCTCAGCTTGTGAGTCTCAGTGACTCACCACCCTCCTCTTCGCCATCCTCCGCTCACCTCCTCCTCCTCCTCCCGCCACTCCTCCTCCCGCCCTCTCCCGCCATCTCCTCCGCCATACTCCTCCCTCCCGCCATACCTCCCTCCCGCCATACTCCTCCCCTCCTCATCCGCCTCTTCCGCTTCACTGCCCACCACACACTCGCTACCACTCCGCCCATTGGTGAGTACCAATATAAACTTAGTCTTTGTATGTGCATGCACGATTTTCTTTAGAAATGGCAATGATTTTCTGTACATGTAATGTATTTCATGGGGCAAAGGAGGCTCAGGAACATAACTCCTGTATTTTATCTATTTCTTATGGGAAAATTGATCCGCTTAACGTTGTTTTGTATAACGTTAGTTTTTAAGAACTTAATCAACGTTAACCGAAGACTTACTTACATATAAAATTTAAATGCAGGGGGCCCCTCCCGCAGGGGTTACTTTAAAATGGGCCGCTAATCACCAAATCCGCGAACAACATTTGCTGACCGGGTGGGGAGGGGGACAGTATTACTTGTGTACAAATAAATATATACAGTATTCCCTTTGTGTTTGCCCTTAGACAATTATTTCATTTACCTGTATTGTATATATCTGTATGAGTGTACACACACACACACAAACACATACATATGAATAATAATAGGAAAATACTCTCACAAATAATCAGAAAAAATTTATTAAAAATGTTACATACCCATAATCAGAAAAATTTATTAAAAATGTTACATACCCAGAGGACGCTGAACATTACCCAACGTGCAAAGCTTGACCCATGCAGGTGTGAGGCCAGTTGTGTCTCAGCAGAATATAACTTGTATTGCTGGAATCCTTGCAAGACAGCTAATAATTTGAATATAGACATCATATATTTTGCACTAGAGATAAAAACTTTATTCCTGAAGTGTAGTATTGTACATTTAAGTACAGTATAAGTTTTTTAACTCTTATTTTTGGGTAGATATATAACTTTCTTTCATTATTTTTACTCATTTACATGCACACACCATCCTATTGTGAAAAAAGTAAAAGAAATAATTGTCCTAAGGGCAAACCTGTATCTGTACAGTGAGTTCTGCTATAACGCTGCGGTTTTGATAACGCTAATTTGCTCTAACGCGATTTATGAATTCGAACAATATTTGTATAACGCTAACGCTTTTGTTTGCTATAACGCTTATTTTGCTTACTATTTCTCCAATTTTGTATTAACTGTGATTATGGTAAAGAAGAATATCTCCAAAAGCTCTGATGATAGAATTCCGGTGATTATCGTAAAAGAAAGGATATAACACTTGAAGAGTCGATGTTATCAACCTCAAAATCACCCTTCTCCCCCATCAAGTTACATTCATATTTTTCAAGGTAAAGTGTTACATTTACTGTATGATTTCATTATTAGATATGAATGTAACATTTATTTAGACTGTGCTATCCTTTGTGTTAGGCTAACTACTAAATTTTTTCGATTTCGAGTAATCTGCACCTAACCCTATTTTCTCCATAAGCCCTGTTATTTCTATTATACGCTATTTTCTATAACACGATATTTTACAAGAACACAATTATCGCTATAGCAGAACTACCTGTACTCAAATGTACAGTATTACTCCGCTTTACACGGTTTCACTTTCCGGATTTCATTTCGCTGCAATTTTGCCAGAACCGGACTTTCACTTTCATGGGTGCATCTACTCATATAGCTGCGGAAGTATAATTTTTTTTATTTAGCTCATAAAATTCATACAAATTACCCGCCAGAATATAATTTACATTGCTGGAATTCTTACAATATGATGATCATTTTGAATATAAACATCATGGATTTTGCATTAGACATACAAATTTTAGATCTAATGTAATAATTTGGTTTACATAAAACAAGTATTTTATCTTTTGTGCAAAATATGAAGTTTACATTCAAAATATTCCCTGACCTGCAAGGAATCCAGAAATGTCAATTATATTATCCTTAACTTAGTCTGAGTTATTATTTATTACTAAAAATGTAAATTACTATTTTCTCCCAAAGCTTTCTGGTAGGGAGGGAAGGTGGGGGGTGGGGGGGAGGAGGGAGGGACGGACCCAGCTAGGGCCGAGTATTTTGATTGACAGATAGTGTCCTTGAAGAATATTTCTTTGTTTATTTAATGAAGATATATGTTTTAGCTCATAAAATTCATACAAATTACCCGGCCATAATATAATTTACATTGCTGGAATTTACAATTTGATGATCATTTTGAATATAAACATCATAAAATTTTGCATTAGACATAAATTTTAGATCTAATGTTTACTCTGAGTAAATATGTTATCTTTGTGCAAAATATATGACATTATATTCAAAATATTCCTGGTCTTACAAGGAATCCAGCAATATCAATTATATTATCCTAACTTTAGTCTGAGGTATTATTTATTACTAAAAGTTAAAATCTAGTTTTTCACTCAACATTTCTCTTCAGGAGGTGGGGGAGGGTTGGGACCCGACGACCATCTGGCGTGGGTTCGAAGAGGGGGGAGGTTGGTACTTTGATTGACAGATAAAATATTTTTTTTTTTTTACTAACTGAAGATATTTGTTTTAGCTCATAAAATTCATACAAATTACTGGACCAGAATATAATTTACATTGCTGGAATTCTTACAATATGATGATCATTTGAATATAAACATCATGGATTTTGATTGAACATACAAATTTTAGATCTAATGTAATAATTTGGTTTACACAAAGCAAGTGTTTTTCTTTTGTGCAAAATGTATGAAGTTTACATTCAAAATATTCCTGACCTGCAAGGTCCAGAAATGTCAATTATATTATCCTAACTTTAGTCTGAGATTATTTTACTAACGTTAAAATCTAGTGGTGTTTCACCCAATCATTTCTCAAGGTAGGGGCCAGTGAGCTGGGAAGAGGATTTGAGTCCATTATTTGAATGGACATTAACCTGGCGACTGTATTTCTCTGAAATATTAATTGTGAGCATACCATCATAAAACTTAGATGTTGTTTTACTACAACATAGGTATTGTGTCGGAAAAAGTGGGTTTGGGGGTCGGGTCAGTCTCGATTGGAATTAATCCCATATGTTCTGTTGTTCACTTTCTGTGGTTTCACTTTCCGCGGTACCCTGTGGGTTCAATTGACGTAAATCGAGTTTACTACTGTACTAAATAATTACAAATTTTTATGTCTAGTGCAAACTATAGCATGTTTTTATATTCAAGTTAATCAATAGCAAGGAATTCCAGCAATATAAGTTATATTTTCCCAAGTAAATTCATTGACATTTTATAAGCTGAAAACTTAAACTTCCTCTGTATGATCTGATACGACGTCTGGGTCAGTAATTTCCCTTGCGGCTGGTCAATACCTTACCCCCCCCTCTCACCCCTGCACTCAACCACCGACTCGCCCATACTCTGCCTCCGCCTATGCAGCCTCCCTCCTCAACCTCTCTTACCTTGGGCAAGCAGAAGTCGCCAATCGTCAATGTAAGTGTTTTAAGATGTATATTCTATTGTTTTCCTTTATTGCTGTTTTTCTTTATTAATGAGTAAGGTAAAAGCATATTTATTGTGACAGTTATATGATTTTCCCTAACCTGTAACCATTTACAGGCATTCTTATGGGAAAAAAATATGTTTAATTTATGCGGTTTTTAATTATGCGGTGATTTTCAAACGTATTACATAAAACGAGAGGGGTGGTGTATAGGTAAAGGAAATTACTGTCTCTAGAACAATGGCTCCTGTCTCAGCCGTGAAAATGCGGCAATTTTAAAACTACCCACAGATATTCTTGGGTTCATCCAGGGTGTCATTCTCGAATAATAGAGGACTGCAAATAAAAAATCCGTGATCTTGGGCGCCCTGTACATTCTTCAAGATTCTCAAATGTAAATACAAATCTGGAAATTGATTTTATATAAATTCAGTACAATAATGTACTCTACATGCAAATACATATTTGACTCCAGCCCTGTCTGTGAACATATGTACAGGATGACATTTAGTTTATGGACACATTTGTTTTGTTAATTAATTGATTTATATTGATAGTATGACTTTTTGATACCAAATATTTATAAGAACACAGTATGGAAATACTGACAAAATTCACACTTCTTCACTTATTGAAAATGACTGGTGTCAGGTAACTTCCATTAGAATATAGGCTTTCATGGCAGAAGAAGAATCGAGGAGGAGGAGTCCATAACTTACTGAAGTGTTTCAGAAAAATCAAAATTATTTCGTTTCTGATGGTGTGTTTCAGTTCAGGTAATATTTTTTTATCTATTTGCATAGACCTCTGACTTTAAGTAGCCCCATAAAAAATAATCTGGAAATGTAAGGTCAGGTGATCAGGGTGGCCATGGAATGTCCCCAAATCATGAGATAATGTGATTTGGAAAAGTCTCTTTACAACATTTGCCTTGTTGTATTGCTTCTGTGGCAAGTTGCACCCTTTGAAGGAATATGTCACTGAAGTCTGAGTTGCGATGGCGTATTCAGGAATGAAAAATTCTTTCAGCATTGGCAGTACCGTCCACCATTCTTGGTCACAGTTTCCCCATGCTCACTCTGAAATAAGAACTTATTATTCAAGATTTGGGATGACCGCCAGATTGTCACTTTCTGGCTGTGTAAAGGTTTGTTTGTTGACATACTCTGATAAGTGAAAATGTCGTCATCAGAAATTATGGGATTTTTTGTCAATTATTTGGATTGCCTATCAAAGTCCAATACTAAAATTACACATTGCTAGTCGATTTTCATGGGTAGCTGGTTTCAACTGCTAAGACACTTGAATTTTGTAGGGTACAGATTAAAATCTTTCTTCACAATTGTAAGCATACTGTAGTTACCCTGTTCATGCCCAGCTCTTGAGACTTCCTTCTTGCTGACTTCTTTGGGCTCCACAGGATTGTTTCTCTCACTCTTTCAATTGCTTCTTCAGTTCTTACCAATCTTCTTCACCTGATTTTTTGCATCTGCTACACTGCCAGTTGTCCTTTTAGCTTTAACATAGTGCAATATTAATTCGTGTGGGACATGTTTGTTATACAGTACTAAGCTTAAAATTGTCTTTGTTGCAGTTGTAACTGTGTAGTTAATGATTAGCAAAATAAAGTTCTACAATAGCAGCCCTCTGTTCCATGCTCGATATTTCCATCTGAAGTTTTGATATTGGGGTTCAGTTTTCCAATGCTTAAGGTAGTTCTTAATGTCACCTGAAAAATACAACAGCAGACATTAATCATAAAGATCTGTTACTGTGAAATGTTCATGACTTCATTGTCACCCTGTATGATTGTTTGTCAATTGAAAGTTAATGTACCTGCAATTAAATAATTATTGTGTTTTGATTTGTGAAATATTTTATGGATTTGGAAGTCAGTGATTATAGCAGAATCCATAAAAGACATGCGTACACATACAATACATTTGAAACTGTCAATATTCCATTTTGTTTGACTTATGCCGACTAAAATTCATTTGTGTCCCAGACTAGTACTCTGTTGAACGCTTGTCACAATGTTTTTTCTAAGTCATATAACCTCCATTAGTTCAAAACATCTCAATTCATATATCTCAGTCTTTGGCGACTTGCAAATTGCCAGGAGATACAACAGTGTATAGATTTAACAGTGCCACATGTCCTATCTCTCCTTCACTTTTACTTGTAAAAAAAGCTTCCAAGACTTGAAGTTCTAAATTTATTGTCAAACTCATTAATACAATCAGACCGGAGGCAAATTGTCTTCCTGAGGGGTATATCTATACAATCTATCCTATAAAGGTGGTTGGTCATCAGCTATGATGATAATCAGCCACTTGTTGGATGGGGGATAATCTGATTGATGGCATGGTGAGAATGTACTTTAGTATCCCAGCACCTTAATGTGTTAATGTAAAGTAGGAACTCTCCTTAAGATATTTTGTGACCTTAGAATTTGGAGCATTTCATACCATCTTCCTTTTCCTGGCTGGCTTCAGATACTGTACTTGAATTGCTTGCTGAAGTGGTAGGCTTTAAGTGAAAGATTGATACTGAAATTGCATTTTATGGTTGAGCCAAGAACAAGGTAACTTGGCAATCCTTCTTTCTTCCTTTGGTAAGTGTGGCAGTGTACTGGGAAACCAAGATAGCTAGCAAGGTGCACACTAGCTAATGGAAGCCTGTGTGTTTACAGCTTCCTACTTTAAATGGTGAATCTTTTCTTCCAAATATCCCTCTCCATTGGTATTAGTTGCAAATGGTATGTATACAGTCAGTTAAATTACTATTCAGTAATTCCAAGCACTAGTTTTGAGTCTTTTAGGTCTAGATCAGTAGCTTAGTATGCATATTAAACTCAATCTATCAAATTTCTGGCTCTGCCATAGAAGGGGCTTTCAAGAACCATTTCTACATTTCTCTGCAGTTTTGTGGTGGAATTCCTCATTAATATGATATTGCATTTATGAATATTGGTAAAGTATCTCTTAATTTTATAAAATAACATTAAATAACTTAACCTACCATAAAGTTGCTTCACACACAGGAAGGGTACAGCACTTGGACTCTGGTCTCCGGACACATTAACATTCTTAGCATGGTCACGCTGGCTCCTCTCCTTGCTGTTGGCATTCTAAAAGAAACCTTATGATTTACAACCACCAAACATCTAGGTATGTCCTATTCCTAAAAATGTAATACTCCAGCTTGTCAGTAGAATTGTGTCTACTGTATTTATCTATTAATATTTATCAGTAACCTAGCCATTTACCTATAGGTTAACAAGGTTTTAAATTTTTAACTATTGCCCTTCAGCCATTTGGTTTGCAGTAGTACAAAGCTTTATTGGATTGATTGTTCGTTGGATTGTTTGGTAATTCAGTGTACTGTACTAAGAGGCTCTTGAATCCATTGAAGGTAAGAGGTGGCTATGTGACCAACATTTAAAGAGCTTAGGTTGTATATTGATGACAGGATGTGTGGGTAAAGGGAATTTTTCATAAAGAACTTTGAGGGACGAAGTACTGAACAATAAACCACTTGTACTGTATTCTATTTTTTTGTATTTAATGTTCATTTATACAGTAAATATGCAGTACAGTAAAGGTTGTACTCCCCATTAAATATTGCAGTTGTACATTACAGTTGCAAAGGTCTCAAAGTCATGATATATGTCAGCATTATACACTTGTACACTACAAGTAGTTTATTCATCATTTTAAGCTTCTATGTCATTTTCAACCACTTATTCTTCTCATTTTCATCCCCAAAACTTAGCTAGCACCTTAGGGATATAGGGATGGCTTGAGAGAATACAAAAAAAATGAAGGTAAAAGCAACATTTCACAGAAGCTTGTACTGTATAGGTATACTGTATAGACCCTCAGATCTGGGACCTTTAAAACAAAGACGCAGTCGGTTTGAGAATTTTATGGTTTCCTGGGTCCTAGGTTGTCCATATTTACTTCTTAAATAACAAAATTAAGATAACATTGTACAGTATGCATACCCCTGTCTTTAAATAAAAAAAATACACATACAGTAGTCTATTTAGAAGTTGAGAGATCGTAAAAGGTAGTTAAATGGGTTTGTTTACATCCTAGCAGCTCCTAATGAGTCCTTACCTTTATTATTTCATAATATTTACTTGTATTATTTAACTATGAATTTATTTTCTCATAGCTTTTGAAATTAATATTGGTCAAATTGAACCAAAGATTTGAGGAACTTAGGCCAGTATAAGGAAAGCAAGGTGATAATTGCAAATATAGTTGGGATTCCCAGTTATCCGGTAGATTCAACTAACTGGCACCAAAATGAAGTACAGTACAGTACAGTACGTAATAATAATAAAATTAAATATTCCTCCAAAATCACCCCTCCGCTGGGATTTAGCTGACCCCTTCCTTCCTCCTTGGATGGAGGAAGGGTTTCCTATAGGTGGGTTACTGGTGGTCCAGATAAAATGGTTTCTATCCTGCTGCCAGTTTTAGAGAACCCGGCAGCATTGTCCTCAGCTCAGACCAGGGCTGGAATACTCTCCCACATGTTTGCCATGTGGCGTCCCATAATGCTGGGAGACGGGAGTCCTGGAGGTTGGGCAATGTCGCATACAGTCTCTCGGCTAGCAATACACATCTTTGGTCCTCTATTCCAGCTAGAAGGTGGCTTGGTTGGGCCTGATCAAGTCAATCGGCTGGTCACAGTGTGGTTAGAGTCAAGCAGGCATCAGTGGGCCTGGCATTCTATGGTCCAGGAGCTGTTTTCTTGGCCCCTGGTGTATGTACAGTGATCCCTCGGTTAATGAGTGCCTCGGTTAACGAGGTTACCTTCCATACGATTCTTAACCGGTTAACGAGCATTCCTCGATTAACGAAGTTTCTTACGAGCGACCTGAACATTTTTTCCTTGCATT